GTCCTTTTTTCATTTGATCGTCTGTTACATCTGTGGTGATTGTTAGACCTGCTGGTGTTTCAGGGACTCTACATTTCTCTGTTTTGAAAAAGAGAATCTGTTTTATTGTGAGGTTTACATTATAAACATGAAACCAAATCAGATTCAAAGTAATAAGACACTTTCTCACTACATTTTCAAACTAAGCAAGTTTTCCCTTTAAATATTTATTATTAATAGGCATTCAGTTTCTCATTGCTGTAATTAAGAAGTAATAAATGTCCAGTCTTTTAAGAAGTCAGAAAAGAATGGCAATTCTTTTAAAAGTGATTAAAGGGAAGAATAATTGTCTAAACCTACAAACTGCACCACATGGGGGTGTTTGTATGAAAACTGCATTTTTTTTAATGTCTCCTTACCTTCACATTCTATTGCTTTAGCCCACTTGCCATGTTGGCACGTTGCAGTGCCAATAATTCCTGTTCTATTCTTACACTGATATTCAATGATCTCTCCAGTCATGTATTTCTTTTTCTCTGCTCTGAAGTCCAGAGACTCATCCATAAGCTGGTCACAGTACACTGAAAATACATAATAGTATTGTCAATATTATATACATTGTTACATACATTATTGATTTGACCAATAGTGCTGAAAATGAAGATAACGGCAGGTGTGTAAACCGAGGTACACATGCAGACTGTTCTAAGGCAAAAAAACAAAAACCAAACTAAAACAGTATATTTAAGGTTAGTTAAAGATTGTGCCTTTGGTACAATGTTGGGTTATATTATTTCCATTGTTTTGTCCCTCAAAGGACTACAGTCTTTCTCTACCCTTAATGAAGGGTGGGGAAAGAAAGATGAATAAAGATGAAATATGTCAGCAGGCAGAATGACAGACAGCAGTGTTTTTAACAGTTTTAAAGCTTATTCACAGCAATATTTTATTTTTATGTACGTACGTATACACTGAATATTGAGCTCCTTCCATTCCCCAGCTGTGCATTTAAGTGTGGAATTCCCCTCTATTGTGTACTTATCACGACACTGATAAGTTACTTCAGAGCCAGATGGGTATTGCTTCCGATAACAAGTTGTAATAACAGCATTTTCAACTTTGGGTGGAGGGCTGCAGTTATCATGATTAGCTGTAAGACATCACAACATGTACACTATTAATTTACACTCTGTAATCTTTTCATAAAAACATGCATCAAAATAATGCTTGAGGTGACTCACATTTACAGATATCATCAAGTGATCCATTTAAATCCCATCGTCCGTCACGACAGATTAATTCCTCAATCTTAGCAGAGTATCCTTCATTGCAATCAATGAATATCATTTCTTGGGTCTGTCCGTGTCGTTCAGTATTCCCTAGTATTCCTTCCCCATTAGGAATCTCAGGAGCTTCTCGACACTTTTGTTCCTCTAAGGTGGATATGATTACAAATAATCAGGCAAAATATTACAGATGGATGAAATCCATTTCCATATTTAAAAATGTGATCAGAATAAGCAATGGAAGAAACTCTGTATGAATGCACTTATTGTAAGATATTACAGAAAATATTTTCACACCAGTTTTCTTAAACATAACTGCAGATAAAACTCAAATGTTAAAAAGATGTTTAAAACAGATTTCAAAACTTATATTTTTCTACCTAAACATCTTATACTCCCCATCTTGACATTGGTATTGAACAAGTCACTGTGTTTGCTTCAAGCTAATAACAGAAGATACTTTAATTAGAAACTTTAATTACCAATACAAATTTCAACTCCAGACCAAACACCGTGCACACATGTGGCTTCACCCCACCAGCCTTTGCTGAGAGGTTTGTAACCATCCTCACACCTGAAGTAAAGTTTGTCACCATGTTGCCAAACTTTAAGTCTGCGGTCAAAACTCGTTGTTGGACATCCTGTTATAGCTATCAGAAAGACAGATATTACATTTAGATATTATCAAAGAGCAGTCAGAATACATTCTTGTGTTATTAGTAGTGATTCATAGATAACATTATTCAACTATCTTTGGACTAGGCTTAAATATCCTTAATACTACTGAATAGACTGTGTAATGTCTGTTATTAAGTGACTAGCATTGAATCCTGCTGACTTTGGCAAACCTCCATTTCGTGTGCAGACTCAGGGAAGCAGAGGGAGCTCTTTGATAAGAGTAACATGCATTGCTTCACAAAAGAAAAATGTTTGTGGAGCTCATCAAGGAATCTAAAGATAAAGATAGACTAAAGATAGACTTCTGTCAGAGGGCCCGGTGGCGCCAGTGTCCAGCAGCCTCGCCTCTGTCAGTGCGCCCCAGGGCGGCTGTGGCTACAATGTAGCTTGCCATCACCAGTGTGTGAATGTGTGTGTGAATGGGTGGATGACTGAATGTGTAAAGCGCTTTGGAGTCCTTACGGACTAGTAAAGCGCTATACAAATACAGATCATTTACCATTCTGTAGAACCAGATGCTTTTCTGCAAGTTCCCCGATTTGAGAGAATTCATGTTGACTGAACTTTCATATTAGCTTCACTTTTCAGTCCTGAAAGCAATGCTCACCTTTTATATACAGTTTATACATTTGTCTTTTATCATCAGTTGTTTACAACATTTATATTTGTCATGAAAAACAGTAGTCCTTGAATAACTGAATAAATGTATCCTTTTAAGTTTATTGCATTTTCTTACCTGTACATTCATTAGACCTATGCCAGCCATCTTCTCTACAGGTTAGAGTGAAACTTCCTTCATAACCTCTCCTGCAGTTATACTGGACACGATCGTTGTACCTGTATTCAGCCTGAATTTTTCCAGTAATATCTGCATTATTAAACTGTTGCCTCCTGCATTTTATCTCTGAAAGGAACAAAACCACATTTATTAAGCTTCTGCATTTACTTTGATTCAGATAATTTTGTCATGTAAAACATTCAGATACTTTCATATAATAATTTAAGTAAAAGCAGCAGCTCCCCAGTGTAAATGTGATTCCATTTAACAGTTCTGTATTTTATATTTGAATATGTTCAGTCAAAGGAAAAGAAAAATGTTCAGTTGTGGATTCAGCATCCAGCTGAAAGTTGTTGTGGCAGTAGAAATGTTTCTTGCAGTCTGTACAGAAAATAGTATCCAGTGAGTATTTGTACACTCTTTCGGTTAGTGCTTGGTTAGTACACAAATAAACAAAAAAATGAATGTTATTACCATTTTCTCTCACTATGAACTATCACACAGAGTCTCTAAAATTTATATTGCTGGTTCGTAAGATTTTACTCTATGACTGAATGATCCTTTGAGGCTTCTGTTTGACCAAAGACACTCTGCAGTTCTCTCCTGTTTTCTCAAATATGGACTAATATTAAAGAAATTAAAAACGATCCTGTCAGAATTAGAAGAAAAGTGAACTAAACTTCACCATACCTTCACAAAGTGGATTTGGTTCCCATCCATCTCTGGTGCATGTGGCCCGAGTGACGCCATCTTTCCTCCTGTATCCTGATATACATGTGTACCTGACAGTATCACCCAATTTCTTCGTCTCATCACGCCAAGACGCCTCCCAGCGGGACAAAAGTCTATCTTGTGGACGGATACATGTAACCTCTGTAAAGAAAGAAAGACTGGATAATCTTCAAAAAAATTGTTCATCATCCTCATGGCTGATTGAACTACATGAAAGCAAAGAACAGTGAGCTTAGAATATGTGTCTAAAGCTTTTGTAGTTTTATACCTTGACATACTGGTCTGACAGACCACTGTCCATCCTCAATGCAAGTAGTCTCAACTGAGCGCGTGCGGGTTCTCCCAATCCAGTATCTCTCCTCACATGTAACTGTTACCTTTTCACCAGGTGAAAACCTACTTCTATGAGCAGGTTCATATGTGGTTCCTTGGAGTGGTGGCAGTGTCAGCTCACATTTTATTTCTGCATATGACGGGAAATGCAGCACATGAGTTAGTGTGTTGTACCAAGACAGAGCAATACCATCACATCCAAACATCCAGCTCCAGATCTCACTAGTCAGTGGTATTTAATTTATAAACTGTATGTAATTTATATTTACCTTCACATTCAGGTGTGGGGATCCACTCTGCTCTGTCTCCTGTCTTTGTGCACCTTGAAGGTAATTCTTGAGCACGTTTATGTTGAAGATTGCATTCAAAGTTTAGGATTTCACGTTCATTGTACTCTTTGATATCTCCAAGTACAAAACCATTTTTAATCCTCGGTGGTTCACATTTTACAACTGTTGAAGGATAAAGTCAGAGTCAGGAATAAAACTACAGCAACTGCTCATAGAAAGGTACATAAAAGGTAACTGCTGATTAACCTGTTGTGAAAGGAAGCTTTTTTGATGAAGTAGAAAAGTGAAAGTGATCAAACAAGCAAAGCAGCTGCAATGTTTTTCTCATTAATTACAATTGAAGGCCAATTTTATGATGTTGTTCGTGTTTTTTTGTTTTAGTTTGAAGCTGATATTTTTGGACTTACTATGTCCATAGCAGTGGTGCCTTTATTTTAACCAAATAGGCAAATATTCCCCCAAACTATCTAAACTTAAGTACAAAAATTGTTTTGTTTTTTTTTTGCCCTAAATGTATTCTGTTTTCATTTTCTATTCCTGTACCTTTAGTACAAATAAACTAATTTTGTATGCAAGTGATAATTATTTAATTCTAAATTTTGACCTAAATAAAATACAGCATTACACATGGCACATACATTTGTGTGACACATTTAACACCATTTTAGTTATAAAATAGTGTTAAATATGTCATAACTATTACGAAACTAATTGTTTCATAATAGCTCAAAATTGAATATACAATATAGAGTTGCTCCTCTATTCTCTTTTAGGGGGTTGGTGATTTGGGTGTTACTACCTAATTACTCGAGAACAAAGTAATAGTAACAATAGTAAGCCAGCTTCACTTTACCTTCACATGTTGGATTGCCATCCTCCAAACCTTTCCAGTCTCCATTTTCATCACAATAAATTTCTCTTGCCCCTTTCATAATGTAATTGCTGGACTTGCAGCTAAATCGAACTACATTGCCGTAGGTAGCTTCTTCTGCATCTCCCAACACGTTCACATTGTTGGGAACATTAATTGATGGACACTGCTGAGCTGGAGTGAAAAACATTAGGAAAAAACCCCTCAAAGTCAGACAAAAACATAAACACAGGTTGCTATTTCTTTCTACGTGTATATTACTGATTGCATAATTTCATTTATATCAGCTCCTACCTTCACAGACGGGGATAACACCATCCCAGCCTTCTGCCATACAACGTCGGAAGTTTGTCCGACTGACCATTTGAAATCTGAATCAGGTTTATAATAGAGAATTCATGAAGATGACTAAAAGAAAAGCCAAATGTACAGATAATATGCACAGAGCATGCATAATTATGCAGATTAAGAAACACAAAACAAATAAAATCACAAGGAAAATGTGATTAAAATTATTATGATACCCTTTGTGGCAGGTGTATACAACTTCTGAGCCAAAGACAAAATCGTCCCCCTTTCTAAGTTGAAAATCGGCGAACTGGGCATCGCCAGGATGACCACATGATCTTGCTTAAAGCAAATAAGACAAAATGTGGGTAAAAGTACAACAGAGAAAAGTGGAATTTGCTGTACATTTCATAAAAGTACACTACATATTGTTCAGCATTGCAGTCTGTGATATGAATTTTCGAGCAATAACTCAAACAAGCTAATGATGTTTATGCTGCTTTGGTAAGGCAAGTTCGAGTAAGCAAAACATATGCAAATACAGCAAGACATATGCAAGTGTTAACTGGTTATACTGGAAAAAGATGATATTCATAAGTGAATGTTAACTTACGTTGACAATTAGTGCCTCTGTGTTGCCATTTTCCCTCTACACAGAGCAGCTTGAAAAAGCCACTGTAGCCCACATTGCAGCCCACTTTCACTTGTCTCCCACCTGGGTAACTGGCCTGCATACCACTTATGTCAAAATTGCCATCGTAGAGATGATACTTTTTAAAATCTTCAAGGGTACATGCTCCTGGATTATCTGGATAGCGGTAAATAAAAATCAGCATACATGATTTTTGTGTTTATTTCAACATCAAAATATCGTGTAATTAAAATGAGAAGATCATAGAAATCACCCGAAGTACTGGGTCTTACCTTGGCTTTTCACAAAGGTCAGTGTATGCATCCACAAAAGTAGGATACAGCTTGTGGTTGTTACATGCATTTTATCTTCGCTAGCCTCATTCACCAAACAGAACTAAAGACTGGAGACTCAAAGGCTGTTGTACACTAGAGGAGCTTGGATTTCACAGGGAAAGAAGAGATTGCTCAATGATTTACAAAAGGCTGTCCTTGCCTCCAAATATGACCATACCCATACGGAAAAGAAATAGTAAAAACTTATATGTGATTACTCATGAAAGTGGCCACTTTCATGAGTAAATCATATAAGGCTTACATGATTTACTCAAGAAAGTGGCCACTTTCGCATTACTTTCATACATTGTTTTAGTAAGTATCCAAAACATACAAGTTTCATTATATAATTTTTCAAGGGATCTTATATCTGTTTTCACACTTATATGCTTGTCATACAAGTTTCACACAAGACAGATACAAACTTTATAAGATTTATATATATCTTTTCCATATGGGTAGGCTCGCTGGGAAAAAACCCCGAAAACAAACAAACACTTAAACCCCCCCCCCCCCACACACACACACACACAGGAAGTGATTACATATAACTACTTTCATGACACAATTGATGTTTAACATCTTCATCACCAACTTTAAGGGCATTTATTTGCAGCAAAATAATTTCATGGCCTTGTGTGGTTACCATGTTTATCGTACAGTGACAAACCAAAGAACAAACAAACTTTTACGGGAATATTCACTTTCTTTTGCTTTCCTGTTAATCATTTGCGTGAATCAATAAGGCAAACAAAGTATGTTGCATCTTGGCAAGACAAATACAAAGTGAACTGTATTTTTCATTTCAAAAGCAGATCAATACATCATTTTTTACTCACCAAACTGTGAACTGAACCTAATTTTTGTGTGCACATGAATACAATTGTTGTAACCATGAAAAAAAAAAAACACGCACACAAAAACTAGTTTTGTATGGGAGGAGAGAACTGCCAAAAAACCTGGCAAAAGAAAAAAAGAAAGGCAGCCTGACTTTGTTTTGCAAACTACTGAAACAAAATGTAGCTGTTGAGCAATATTGGATTTGCCCTCATTTCTCTCCATAGCTTCATGTTACTCACTTCTGAACGTACATTACATGTGCCACTCTACAAATGCATTTCTTGGACCATACAGTATGGCTTTGTTATGATTTTCAATAAGCAAGTGGCATCTGTGAGTCAGAAAGTAAACAAACACTTTATACAATATGTATTTTTCCATTTTTCACCAGCAGACCAACTATTATTCCCTAACATGGGAATTTTAACATTTCTGTCTGACGTTTTGCATAAAGCTGAATTTCCTCCAACACTGTGAAACAATTTCTACTGACTGAGAATCACGGGTACTGTTTGCTATGCAAACTACCTCCCTGCCTGCCCCACTGCTGACAAAGCAGAAAGAGCGAGAGTAATGTGGATTGATGGTCAAATGATTAAACCTTTTAAAGAATCTAGCTGTAAGAAGCAGATATTTTGTGTGCTCACATCAACTATTATTATCTTCAAATGTGAATAGTATGATGATGAAATGTTAACTTGTTCATTCTCCAGGTTTCTATCAGATTGAAAAAGACTGTGTTGTGGAATATACACAGCTGGAGGTCATAAAGAAAACATTCTTGTGTTTAAAATGTAATATGGAATAACATTTACAAGAAAGTTTTACAACTAACTATTATTGAAAAACATTCCTGATAAATCAATTGACGTAGGTGTGCAAAGGGTACCTTCAGCAACCATTACCCCATATCGCAATAGTACATTGTGCAAGTTTAGCATGTTAAAAGACTGACTGATCTTTAGATAAACAGTTGCTTTCATCCAGCTGCAAACTGGCTGATTTGGCTAGATGAACTTCTGGATCATTAAATGGAGCAAGAAATGACCAAATACCTAGATTTCACACCTGCAGTTTTCACTTAATAAACATTTATGCTAGGACTTTGGTCAGATTTGCATTCTTTTGGCATTAAAATGTGTTTTTGGGATTCATTAAAAAGGCACAAAAAAAGTGACTACCCACATAGCAATCTGGTCTGGCCCAGATCTGGTATCAAGCCGGGACTGCTGGCTGACTTCTGGCATGGTAAGTGGTATGCCATCCAGATATGGGCCAGGCCTGGCATAGATAGCACTGTCTATGTAATGGCATGCCATATCAGTTTTGTTGCAGTTTGGTGTATGTGGCCCAGGCCCATAGAAAACAGGTCTAGCCCTGATCTGGAATCAAGCTGGCACTTCTGACTAGGTTTGACAGGTTTGTGAGTGTACACTCTATCCAATACCTAGTGACGGTTTACACATCTTTGCCTGTAGGTGCTGTAGCTCAGCAGGTAGCACAAGTCAGCTACTGATCAGAAGATTAGTGGTTCAATCCCTACTTCATCCAGTCTGCATGTCAAGAGTGAGAATGTGTATGAATGTAGCTAGAAAGCACTCAGTTTAGAGAAACTGTGTGAATGTGGCATGTTGTACAGAGCGCTTTGAGTAACCTGGAAGAGTAGAAAAGCACTATATAAGAATCAGTGTCTGAACAGTTCGGTCATGTTACTTTTGCACTATTATGTCCTGGTGCATGTTGTTATTACATGACTTGATTAACCCTTTAAGACCTACCATAGAACCAAGTCCGCCAGAGCTTATATTATATTTTTACATGCTGTAGTGCCATTTTTGGGAGCATTTCAAGTTGATATACATCAATACATCCATTATATCCCAAATGTTAATAATATATATGCATTAAGTGCATAGTAATTACATAAATTGCAAAAAAGTGCAATAAACTACAAAAAAATTGAAAATCGTTTTTGTTTTTTTAACATATATTTGTAGTTAGAGAAATTTAAGAGGCTTATCCCTCAAAACTGTAAATACAAAAAAGCTGCACAAAATAGTTTCCCCACCAAAGGAAATTTATTTTAAGTGTCTTCATAGTTTTATTTTTGAGATACACCAATTTTCATATACTGCAGGAAAAACGAAAAAAGTTATTATAGTGCAAATTTGCAAAGAAACAGCATATGCATCAAAATAAACTATTTCCAGCAGTGCAATATGAGTCCTAAGCATCCCAGAAACGACACAGAAAGTCATAAAGTCAAACATAACTTTTAAGAACACAAGTATAGACTCATAAGGCCACGATGGTAAAAAACTACATTTCCGCAAAATGACGTCACTTCCGGTTTCGGGCAGGTCATGCCGGACATGTGATAGTTC